AGGCAACAAGCAGTCCTACACTTCCAGCCATATTGTGAACTAGATAACCTAATTGTCTCACTATAAAACAGAAATGACTGGTAAACTATTAACAAACATCCTCTTAAGTGTGTTTTGACTTCATGAGAAAGAAAGACACACAGGTTTGGTCTACCCTTAAAGACTAGAGGGAGAGATTGCTAGTCCCTTAAGCAAGGGGCTTTGGTTTATAAAGGCACTCACAGACAAGAACTTGGCTTGGATTTGAGACTGAGGGTAGGATTTGGGACTGAGACTCCCCCAGATTCCTGAAAGCAGTGAAGGCCTACACCCTCAGTAAAAGATTGGTCCAAGAAAACATTCCACTTGCTAGCACAGGAAAAAATAAGGAAGCTCTCCTGTCTTGGGAAAGGTGTCCCCTGAGAATATATAACCACAGTCAATCCTCATGTGTGCTTACGATTTGAATATATACTACCTCTGTAGTCAGGTAACCCCAAGTAAAGAAATTAACCTAAAAGGTGGTCCAGAGGACATGTGGCAGGCTCAGTCGGAAGAGCATTGACTCTTGATCTCAGGGTTGTTAGTTCAAGCCCTATATTGGGTGTAGAGAGTACTATAAATACATACATACATACATACATACATAAATAGTGTTCAGGCTAAAAATGTCCCTGAAACACCTGGCAGAAAAAAACAAAGCTTCTCAGTATGAAAAAATTCTGAATCAAGCCTTACGGGATTCCCTAATAATACCCTACTAGGAAGTGAGCTCACAATACAAAATAACAAAATACGTTAGAAACCTAGAAAAGTAATATATGTGCAAAGGTATAGCACTTGCATTACCACTTTTGTTGCTAAATATTAGAATTTTTCTGAACAAAAAAGTAAGCGATAAAATCTAGTGCTTTTTTTCTCAGTAAGAACACACTTGGAATCCCACTAAAAGGAATTAGAAATTATATCTACTATACAGGTTCATGAAATAAATGAAGCAAGCAAATAACAGAATAATACATATGGATTGGATCTACATTTTTGAAGAAAAAATATAAAGGTTATGTATTTGTATGTGCATATAACAGAATATGGAAACATATACACCAAACTTATTGAAGCGTGAGATTTGAGGAGGATTAACAGAATTTAAACACCTATGTTTTGTTAAGATAGTTTCTTTTCTTTTTTTGACAATGAGCATCTGTAATTTATCTTAATAAAGGAAAATATTTTAAGGAGTTTCTTTGTTTATAACAATGGCAGCTACTTCGTCACTGAAAATAATGGACAAAACCCAATTTTCCAAATGCAACCCAACTGCTCGCTAGAGAAGTCAAGCAACGGACAGAGGAGGACAAACCAAAAGTTCTTGGAAAATCCTGTTTTTCAGGCTTCTCTTCGGTTGGCATTCTGTCACCTAAAATGTAATTATTTAGAAGCTGGCTTTCAGAGAGCATCCCCTTCTGAGAATAATGCTCATTGAGAACAACTTGGATTCAAGAACTGACTTCAGGTCACAGTTGCCTTAAACCATAAACTTTATAGCCTGCCCCCAAAGATCACAGCATTAGAAAAGATGGTGAGATCATCCCCTTGCTTGTGCTTGACTTAAATTTAATCAAGTAGTCAAAGAAATTCTAGTCCAAGCAGAATGACAGGTTGCATATAAAAACACATGAATAAGGGTGCCTGGGTAGCTCAGTTGGTTAAGCATCTGCCTTTGGCTCAGGAAGTTCAGGTCATGATCCCAGGTCCTGGGATGGAACCCTGTTTTGGACTCCCTGCTTGGTGGGCTGTCTGTTTCTCCCTCAGCAGCTCCCTCAGTTTGTGCTCTCTCTGATAAACAAAAAAAATTTTTTTTAAATATGAATAGTAAAAGACTAAACATTTTGAAGAACAGAATTGTCTGAGAGTTCTTGCTAAAAAGATGTCTTATTAAAAAAAGAAAAAATATGTCTTACCTTTATAAGCCATGGAGAAATTACTTGCTATGTTCTATAAATTAAAAGCCTTCTCAAACACAAGAGGTATAAAGAGTATAGGAAAAGAAAATTTCCAAGACAAAATTTTAAAAAATGGTTAAGGAATTGCTGTTGTGTTGAAATTTAGCATATGAAAAATTCATTATAATTGAGTGCATTTCTTAGTAAATATGAGACTGGGCTGATTCTAGTTTCCTTTTAACCAAATTTGTCCTCCCATTGGCCAAATTTGGGACATGCTGAGCATCAAAAACAAACAGTAACTATGATTATAAGATATCAAATAAAAATCCATGAGTCCACCATGATATTCAAAAAAGAAAAAGGGGTATTAGTAACAATAGCCAAACTATGGAAAGAGCCAAAATGTCCATCAACTGATGAATGGATAAAGATATGGTATATGCACATACATAATGGAATATGACTCAAGTAATATTATTTGAATATTACTCAAAAAAATCTTGTCATTTGCAACAATGTAGATAAAGCTAGAGCATATTATGCTAATAGGTCATCAGAGAAAGACAAATATTCTATGATCTCACTCAAATGTGTAATTTAAGAAAGAAAATGGATGAACAAAAGGAGAAGGAAGTAAACTATAAGAGACTCTTAATATAAGAGAACAAACTGAGGGGTGACGGAGGGAGGCAGATGGGGTATGGCTAGGTGGCTGGTGGGTATTAAAGGGGACACTTGTGATGAGCACTGGGTGTTGTATGTAATTGACAAATCACTGAATTCTACTTCAGAAACCAATATTGTTCCATATATTAACTAAAATTTAAATTAAAAAAAAGGAAAAGGGAAAAAAATAAGGAAAGCCTTTTTTTGTAGAATGTAGAAGGAAAGATATTTAGAAAACCACCATTGTGAACCCCCAAGGCAGTAACTGGTTCATGCGAGGATCAGCAGTGTAAGCTAAAGCCATTAAGCACAATGTTGTGAAGAACAGCCACACAATATTGAAGGATCACCCACAAATAATAACCATTTGCAGAGAAAAAAAGCTTTATAATGGAGAAATCTCTGCTCACCCCCTTAACCACTCTTAAATTCAGCAACCACTCTTAAAATTCAGTAATAGTAGGGCAATCTGATAATGTTTCTTAATGTGAAGCAATAAAAACACAAAAGATCACTAGTGAAATCTTCTTGCCAAGAATGTTTAACTGGAATCTAACCAACCCTTATACGGTTTACAGGAAATAGGACTAGGCATTAAAAGACAGCATAAGGAAACAACCAAACCCAGAATGTAAGCCCTTCTATAACTATAAATTTAAAAACCCAGTGTCACTTTTAAGAAATAGGAGGAGACTATTCTAAACTAAAAAGACAAAAGATCTACAACCAAACGCCACATACTGACTGAAGCCTGTCAAGTTAAAGGGAGGAAACTGCTGTTAAAAATCTGAAACAAGGGGCACCTGGGTGGCTCAATTGGTTAAGCAACTGCCTTTGGCTCAGGTCATAATTCTGCAATCCCAGGATAGAGTCCCACATTAGGCTCCCTGCTTAGCAGGGAGTCTGCTTCTCCCTCTGACCTCTCTCCTCTCTCTCTCTCCCAAATAAATAAATAAAATCTTTTTTAAAATTTTTTAAAAAGAAGTCTGAAACTCTATTGGAAAATCTGAATAGAGATTAAATATTTGATGATATTCAGAATTATTGCCAGTTTTCCTTAGGTGTGATCATGACATTTTATTTCTATATTTTAGTTCTATCCTAAGAATTTCCTTGTTCTTAGGAAATACATGCTTAAGTTTTTAGACAGGAATTACCATGCTGCCTGAAATTTACTTTAAAGGAGTAGAGCAGTGTGGTGGAGAGAAGATTGCCAAAATCTGTCTTTAAGCTTCAAAACCAGGAATATGGTTTAACCTAATATATACGTAAAGAGAGTTAAAGCAAGTGTTAGCAATTGTTAGCAATTTTTGAATCTGGGTGTTGGCTATACAGGTGTTTGCTCTCATTTCAACTTTTCCGTGTCAGAAGTTTTTTTTATATTGAAAAGTTGGGGGAGTAGGAAGACTCTTCTCAGAAATATTCTCCTTGGATGACACCTACCAAATTTACCTTAAATTTTAAAGAATTACCTTAACTATTCTAAGGAAGTGGTTTGCTTTTCATTTGTTTACTCACCATCCAATCGAAGCCTATGCCTAAAACCTGCTTCAATTATTGCAAATATTCTAATGCTTAGAATAGAAATTCCAAAACAATCAGCACAAGATTTTTATGTGTAACTGGTTTTATACCCAAACAACAAACTTAACAGTAGTAAAACAAACTGTTTATTACAGCATAAAATGCGTTATATTAAATTTACACAATGATATATAAAAACACATACTGTTTATATCATACAGTAATTTAACATCATAGAAATATCAAAACAAATACTACTCATGCACAAAACATGCATATATTGGTATAAAAAACAATTTTACACAATACTGTTTACCAAAACAATTTTTTTTTTTTAAAAGCCCTTCCAGACAGGGTCAGTGGTCCAATCTGGACTGGATTGCACTAAAATGTTCAGGCCAATGCTTAGGTGGCACAGTGCTCAGTGAGCAATTCTGGGCGTGGAGTCACACCCAAGGGTTATTTCATTAGGGCTGAATTTCTCTGTACCCCAGGACCAAAATTCTATCCCAAAGACAAGTCCTTCCAGGAAGAAATGGTTGGATCAGCTGCAAATCAGGGAGGAGGAAAAAGGCATCAAAATGTTGGCTAATCGGCCCTTAAAAGGATTACTGTAACTAGGGCCTCGGCACCAAATGCGGCAAAAATTTTAGTGAATCCTTTTAAGGTTATTACCAGCCTCCCTATCCAGGTCACCAGCTCTGGATCTAGGGGCTGGTCTTCAAGTTCTGAGTCCAGTAAACCAAACAGTTCTGAGAGGAAAATAGAATGGGGACCCACCTAAGAAAGGGAGACTATATTGAAAATTACAGAAAACAATGACTGTCCATCGTACCTACTTCACACAACTGTATGTGATGCCTCTCAACAGGAAAACCCGAGAGAACCAAGAAGCAAACGTATATCCTAGATTCCATCAACCTGACCTTCAGATCAAAAGGTCCCATCCCAGTAAGACTGGACCATCGAAACCTGTGCCTTCACAGATGCTCGGAGAATTTCCGATAAAAATCACCTGATACCACAAAATTAATTCACTATCACCACCATTAAAAATCCAGTATTTACTCCTACCCAACAAAAAAACATTCTTTACCTTCCATTAAAGGCACTAGTGTCCCTACAGGATGAAGACGAGACAACTGACCTCAGGGTAACCTCAAGGAAAGGAAAGCATTACGTGAAACTGTCACACAAAGAAATAAGACGCCACCTTTTCCTCTAGAAAACTAGAAAACACCCCGCTCTCCCCGCCAGCGGCATTCCTTAGACGGTCGTCATGAGTTTCAGAGAGCCGGACCGAAAGCGGAGGATTTTCTTCTTGAGGTTATGCGAAGCCTTAATTTTGACAAAGGTTTTCGTGGGGTTGCTGTGGAGGTCTGGGGCCGTGACCGCCTGGATGGGGAGGGTCTGGACGAACTGGGACCAGATGAGGCCCCCGCTTTCCTCGGAGTCACTGGAGCTCGTGCTGTCGCCCGCAAACTCACCCTCGCTCACGCTGGACTCGCTGTCCCCGAAGCAGTTGGTGGTATAGTTGCTGCGCTCGTCTTCGCTGGTGTCCAGCACCGTGGAGTGGAAGAGCGACTCGCACTCGGCCGAGTACTCCGAGTCGCTGGCCACGTAGGCGTAGGGGCTGGCGTAGGGCAGCGGCACGGCGGCGGGATACAGTCCCACGTGCTCGCGCCGGGCGCGCCGCGACCGTCGCAGGGCCTCTTCCAGGGACACCTCGGCGGCTGAGCGCCAGCGCCGCGAGTCGGTTCGCTTGTGCTTGGGCTTGGCCACCAGAGCCTCCCGGCCATGGCCGTGCGCCCTGCCCCCGGCCCTGTGGCCCGTGCCGGGCGGCCGGCTGGAGAGACCCGCCTCGGGCTGGCCGCCCCCGCCCTTCCTCCCGCGGGACGAGGCCTTCCTGAGTTTCCTGTTTGTGTCCGCGTCGTCGGGGAACCGGCACTTCTTCCCCGCCACGCGGCTCTTCTCCCTTACCGGGGGCAGCACGCTGTCCGGGCCGTGGAGGGCCGGGGCGCCCCGGTGCTTCGGGGCCGAGCCCCGCAGGACGGCCGCGGTCCGGGCGCCGCGATGGGGCCTGCCGCCCGCGGCCTGTGGGCCCAGGCCCGACGGCGCCTTCGCCGGGGGCCCTTCCTCCAGGCTCTGGGAGGAGGAGCCCTCGCTCTTGAAATCCAGCGCCGGCCGCTCTTCCACGGCGAAAGCCGCAGGCAGCGGCGCCGCGGGCACAGGAGGGGGCGCTGCCGGAGGGGGAGGCGGAGGGCCGCTCTTCTGCGACAGCTTTTTCAGCGGCTGGACGGCTTTGCCCTCCGGCGGCGGCGCGGGGCCCCTCCCGGGGCTCTCCTTGGCGGGGGCGCCTAGGACCTGAATGCTGTCTTTGGGGGACTCCCCTGGGACAGCGGTGGGACAGCGGGCGTGTTCCTGGGAAGCGGGCTTGGCATTTTTGGGCAGATGCTTGGCTGGAAGTTCAGTGGCGGCGCCGGGCAAGCAGCCCTCCGGCGGGGACAACCTCTGGCTTTCCACGTGCTCTGCCTTGGATTCCTTTGACCACTGCTTCGGTGGGGAGAACGTCCCGAGGTCCAAAGAAGGGATTCCGCCAGAGGCCAGAAGCACCTGTTTAGAATTCTTAAGGTTCCCGCTGTTGCCCTGTGAGGTGCCCCCAGTCACTCGGACACAGACGCTCCCATTCCTCAGAAGCCCCTTCGTGGGGTCAGCATTCACACTGGTTCTTGGTTTGTTGGTCCTTACAGGGTGTGTTTTTTTCTGGACCAGGCTCAGAATGTAGCCATCCATTTTCTTACTGGACGAAGGATGGGGAGCAGACCACGAACTGCTTGGAGATGGCAAGGAAGTGTCTGTCTTGACGGCGTCCAGCTCAGATCCCACACAAAGGTCACTGGCATGGTTACCAAGCTTCTCCTCTTCCCTCAGAGGGTTGCCCGTCAGACAAAGGAGAAACATTGGGCTCTGCACCGCCACGGCATGAAGTGGGCTGGGATAGCGATACACATCGTTCCCGTTTTTAGACACCAGATCACACTGGTACTTGGGATTCACATCTGCAATGATACCAAGGGAATTAAATTGTGATGTGGAGTGGGTATGGCAAACTGGCCCTGAGGCCTGGTCTTCACAGTGGCCTTCTTTATATTCCAACCATCCTATGAGATCTGAAAAACATTTAAAGGTACACTCTGAAGAAATTAATTGTTCAGCACCAGCTTGACTCAGGCCAATTTCTAGGAAAACAAATTCACAGATAGAGAGTGCTAAAGAATCAACTATTCCTACAAGCTACTGTACTCTTTTACATTCAGTGCATACTACTGGATGCGGGAAGAAATATTTAACAAAGAAATTCATAACAGGAAATGATATATCCTCTGAAGGAAAAGTATTCAGCCATTAAAAATACTTTCAAATTGGGGTGCTTGGGTGGCTCTGTGGGTTGGGCCTTTGCCTTCAGCTCGGGTCATGATCTCCGGGTCCTGGGATCAAGCGCTGCATCAGGATCCCTGCTCAGCGGGGAGCCTGCTTCCCCCTCTCTCTGCCTGCCTCTATGCCTACTTGTGATCTCTGTCAAATAAATAAATAAAATCTTAAAAAAAAAAAAAAACCTTTCAAACTATTGAATAATATGGGGAAAATGCTTTAAAGTTTAGTGAAAATCATGATATAATACCAGACTATGATTATAATTTTATTGACTGTGTATATATATATGCAAAGAGAAAAGTCTTAGATGAAGCACACCAGGATGCCAATAGTCGCATTGCAGTGTAGAAAGCAAGTGAGATTTTCTTCATTTCCTATTTTCTACATTTTCCATAAATATGCACTGCATTTACAACTCGAAAAAAACATTTTTTGAATCATTCTTTCTCTGGGCTACTCTACCCTCTGTATTCTATACCTGGTTTCCTTTTGAAATACTGCAGATAAACTGTACTTTCTGAGAGGTTTCTCTTCATTTTCTATATTTTTAGACCTACTTAATGACATGTGTTTGGTATAATTGTCAATTGGAAGTTCAAAGAAACTGATCAAATTTCAATGAAGATTAACCAAATGTAAATAATAATCATCTTATATTTTCAATAGTGACACTAAAAAATAAAACAATAAATAGGAAGGAATTCTTGATAAGGTTTTAAACGATTGAGTTGTAGTATTAATGAATAAATTTTCCACATCTCAAAAATGTAGATGCCAAAATATAAGGAAATCAAGCTTTCTTGCTTAAATGATTTTGATGTCTTACCCTTGGTGACTATTATAAATATGAAATCCCTTTAATGAACTTTAGCAAAGGAAAATCAAAGTTTTTGTCACTATTTAATATATCCTGTATTATACTTATTCACTCAAATATTGAAAAACTACTATGTGCCAGAGTCTATGTAAATTGCTTAATTTAAGGGAAAGCTCCAAGACCTTCAATGGTAATTAGCAGCCCTGGGGAAAAATATATTCTGGACACAGAAAAGATAGGATTCATTTGTGAAGAAAAGATTATTATAAAGTAGAAGTGCTGTGTCCTTACCCCCCACCCCACACACACACACACCTCTACTCCTAATAAACAGCTAACTATAAGAAAGGGAAACCTTTTTAGCTAATATTGTTGCCCATCCATCCTCCTCCACTACTCAATATTCGCCCTACATTTAAACATTGCCCTACATTTAAACATTGCCCTATGTTTACCTACACTTTACTATTTTGTCCCTACTCTCAACTGAGTTAAGGAGCGAAACAGACATCTCAGTCCCCAAGGCCCAGTACAACTGCCTCAGTTATATGAAGATGTGGCATTTGGGAGATCGGGGGTCTGTCCTCAAGGAAAACCTTTACCAACGTACCTTTAATGGGTTTTAAAGTTTCCTTCTGAAACCAGAGCTGCAGAGTGAAGGGGAGCAATTACCAATGAACTTGAGGCCTAGACACTCTAGATAACACAGATTTGTGCTTCCCCAAGTGCTTGCTGCTGACAGCACACAGTACAAACACAAAAAACCAGCCAGTTAGCAGCCTCAGTTGTCTGGCATGATGTTTTCATTGCTTGGATCTCAAAAATTCAGCCTTTTGCCCAGGTGGAGGACACAGACAAACCAAGAGTACAGTGACTTGTGCTGGCACCCACAGCTCCTCTCCATGTTTTCCCTGCTCTTCTGGGGAACCACAGTAAAGCAGAACTACGCAAGGAGTCCCAAGTTTCAGCAACAACTCTGCCATTCAGCAAATGAGGAGCCTCTGACGAGCTGTTTCATAAAACCAAATTCCTCCTCTGTTCAATGAGAAGGTCGAACACAATAATTTCTGAATTCCCTTGGTGTCATGGAAAAAACTTGGACCTGGCAGTTACTCCCAAGCATGGTCCTGCCTCCGCTACCCACTACCTATATAACCTTAAACAATTAACCTAACCTCACTGGACCTCCTTTTTCTGAGACATAAGATGGAGCTAACGATACCTGCACACCCTGCAGAACTATTGGGAGGATTCAAAGGAGATAAATGTATGCAGAGCACCTAGTAGAGTGTGGGACATATGGTGGAAACGCAGAAACTCTTCCAATACCAACAACTGCACGACTCTCTCTGGAGGTCACTGCGAGGATAGCCCAAAATAAGGAACGGTGGCACATGGCCCAGGGGAGTTTCATCCCGCCCACTTGCTAGAAGAAAAGACAGCTGCCACGGTACAAGACATTCTGGAGAACATGGAGGGGTCACTGCTCCCTGAAGTGCCAATCAGTCTGACAGATAAATTTAACTTAGTGTAAGTCTGAGCTTTCAATGATTAAAAGAAGAAAAAAACAGATCCAAAGTGGTTTTCAAGAGAAAATGCAAACAAGTTAAGCTAACAGCAAAGGCTCGCAAACAGAGCCCAAGAGACCTGAATATTGGGACAGGATTTCTAAGGACAAGCTATCTTGCCACTGTCAGCTAACCAGTACCCAAGGAGGACCTGAAGAGTGATCATCATGGTTCTAAATCAACTATGTCATGAAATGTAGCACACTGATGAAATGCTCTTCACCTTCTGTTTTTCTATCAATAGAAGGGGTTGAAGCTACATCATCTTTAAGGGCCTTTCACCCCTTCCAATTAAAAATGTCTATCAAGGGGCACCTGGGTGGCTCAGTGAGTTAAGCCTCTGCCTTCAGCTCAGGTCATGACCTCAGGGTCTTGGGATCGATCCCTGCATCTGGCTCTCTGCTCAGCGGGGAGCCTGCTTCCCCCTCTCTCTCTGCCTGCCTCTCTGCCTACTTATGATCTCTCTCTGTGTCAAATAAATAAATAAAACCTTTAAAAAAATGTCTATCGATTCTAAAAAGTCTTACCTGCAGATTTGGGGCAACCATCTGAGATAGTCAAGGTTGCCTCCAAGGGGCTGCAAAAGCAGGTGCTGGAATGACAACTGGATAAACACTCACTGAAGACCGAGTTAGAGGAATTGGAAAGGGATCCTGAAGCCCCATCACTCAGCTCATAAAACCCTACAAATAAAAACACCATTTGGAATTAAGATCACGTCAAGCAATAGTACACATTTGTGCTTAAAAGGAAAAGAGTTAATCAACTAGGAAAGGTAGGAGAAGGAGACGGTGGTAGTGGGGGGCAATTTTGGTTCACTGGATTTAGCATTGTGCCTGTATGATTTTATTTCAGGCAATTCTTAGGAAAAGGCCAAGAGCCCATATCTATGGATACATTTCAAAGTTACTCTCACCCTCAAATTGACCTTCCTCCTTGACCCCACCTTTAAAGATGTGCAAGGAACGAAACTTAGATCTCTCAAAGCCTCAACTTTATCGTGAAAGTTTCAGGAAGAATAATTTGAAGAAAAAAACAAATCTAGTCAAGAAGCCAAATGGCTTAAAAGAAGAAAAAAAAAACTTTTGAAGTGGTCTCAGGAAGTTGAAGTGTGACTAATTTTCTAGCCCAGTTCTGACTTTCTCAAGTTTCAAAGGAGGACTGCTCTTCCAGAAATTTGAATAGAAGCTTTTATTTTTAAACTCAGGGGACTCCAGTCAGATCAATCTCATTATTAAAAATTTTGTCATCTGGTTTTATTTCCCTCTCATACAACTGAATGGCAGACTGCTTTTTTTTTTTTTTTTAATCTCTCTGCCCTAGAAACAAATTCCATTGCCATTTGCAGGTCTGGGAAGGCCCAGGGGACTGAAGTAGAACTTGAGTGCAGAATTCCGTCCTTGTGCTCACAAACTCACCTGAGCTGGGCCGACTGTCCGTCTCCAGGTGCTCTTCAGATGTCTTTTCTACATCTAGTCTCAGGTCACTTATCTGCTTGTCAAGTTCTTGCAACTGATTCAACAAACCAGCATCTCTTCTCCTCAGACAATTCTGATTAGGAAGAAACACAGAAAGGAAAAATGAACACATTTTTGGTCACAAAGAACCAGAAAGTCTGCTATCAATACTCAAATTACCATTTAAAGAGCTCACTAGAGGCGCTTGGGTGGCTTGGTAGTTAAGCGGCTGCCTTCAGCTCAGGTCATGATCCCAGTATCCTGGGATCGAGCCCCACATCAGGCTCCTTGCTCAGCGGGAGGCCTGCGTCTTCCTCTCCCACTCCCCCTGCTTGTGTTCCCTCTCTCGCTATCTCTCTCTGTCAAATAAAGAAAATCTTTTTAAAAAATAAATAAATAAATAAATAAAGTTCACTATATCTTCCAAAAGCAAAATTTTACTCGATGACCTGAAATTTAAAAAAAAAAAAAAAACTTCAAGAATATGTCCTATGTTTAGTGTGTGTTACTTTCTTGCATTTTGTGGTGCTATAAACTTTTTTCATAAAAACACGACTTGCTTTTTGTTTCAAAGAATATATACAAATTCACTTTTTATAGGTAAGGATAAGGAGATTTTTTAAAACCCTCTGTGTACAGCCAATTTTTCACAAAACCATACTTCACAGTAGACTCTAATTTGAAGTCAGGGTGTGAGATATTTCCTACAGTACACTATACTCTTACTTAGGTGAGATTTTCTGGCCAAATGTCCCACAGAATTTTGTTTTCTATTAGTTGCTTTGTGGGGTTTAATCAGTCTTAGGGCCTTTGAAAGTGAGAAACTAATACTAATAGCCAGTGCCAAGTATAATGTGAGCCGGCAAAACCCAAAACCCTCAAGGGAAGGTCCATCAAGATTTGAACTCAACTTGGGTTTCCAAAGGTGACAGATCTGTAGTGCTAACTCACAGCGCCACCTAGTGTTTCCTACTGCTGGGAAAGCAAGAGAACTAAAAAGGCATCTGGTTCAAATCATGAATGCCAAGTCTACAAATGAAAATAGTACCACAAACACTGACTGGACTGAAATTCTCCTGACATGTAGCCTTACTCCCCTCCAGGGGACAACAGGAATGTGCCACTCACAATCTTGAAACTCGTGAAGAGAAAAAGGTGCTATTGTACAAGACAATGCATAAAATGTCAATGACCAAGGCACAGCCGGCAAGAATTGACTCAAATCCACATTACACACGAATCTGGGCTGCTACCAAAAACCAGTAAAATGCCAAAAAAGGTATTGCACAAATCAGGATGCATCTTTAAAAAATAGATGCATAGGAATATTATTCCTCCTGTCTGTCCTTTGACTTAAAAAGCCTGTAGACAAAACCCATGTATGCCTGTTTGCTAGAATTCGCTTCTTAAGGCAAAATAAACCAAAGTAAAAGCACTTTGAGAGAGGTGCTTTTGAGAGAGGGAGAGAGGAGAGAGAAAAATTATCTGAAAAGAGATAATACAAGAAACCCCTTGACAAATAACCACGCAACATCACCTATGTTCACTATTGTAGGAGGGACATTATCTAGCATGTGTCTAGTTTCAGACAGTATCACATGTTCAGAAAAAATTTTTTTTCCTCTTTTCAAAACTACATTTTGGGGTCACCATAACAAAGCTGCCGCCATTATTCTGAGGCGGGGTCAAGAGCTGTTCATCAATACATTAAGCGCCAAAGTTCTTTTTCTTCCCCATTAATGCAGATGGCATAGAATGACTGAGATACTGACGGAAATCCAGTAAGATTAATGCTGCCTAAGAGCAGGTTCTCTCTTCTCCCACCTCCACCGCCGTTCACATAAAATACGAGAGGACGGGGCACTTTCTCCAGCCAAATTTCTATCATCGCAATGTTTTAGCTGCCTCATACAAAGGGCTTCTATTTGAAATTAAGCCGCAGCCCAGGCAGAAGCTGGCGTGCCGAGAGTCCCGGGAGGGGCAAGGCTCCCTACGTGCGCTTCCGCGTAATCGTAAAATTCAGCTTCGGACAGTTAACCTCGCCACAAGCCCCCTCCTCGGCTTTTGTCCCCTCTCGGCGGGAGGACACGAAGCTAAGACCTCCGAAAGAAATGGTATTTTAAAGGAGGGTTTGCAAACATTCAGGGAGAGGGCGTTGCATTCGTCTAACTAGAGAGTCTGAAGGTTACAACCAGGCGACTCCAAGAATCCCGAAGGCAGCGCGAGGAGGGGAGAGCTGCCACCCCCTCCCGGCAATCCGCGCGGGGTCGCCAGCCCCTCACCTGACACAAAGCGGGCACACGCCAGAAACGCGTGGGCGCCCGGGGCCCACGCGGGGATGGAGGTCCGGGATCCGGGAGAATCCCCCCAGCCGGAGGCACCCTCGCGCCCGCCCCCAGACCACCTGCCCGAATCCCAGCCCCTGTGCAGGGACAGCCGTGCCCCTACCTCCAGGCACGACCTACCAATTGCTTCCGCAGCAGCAAGATATTCTCCTCCAAGAACTTCTCCTCCAGGCGGCTGCGTTGCGCCGCCTCCGCCGGCAGCTCCGCAGCGCGGGGCGCAGCGACTCCCGAGCCCCCAGCGCCACGCAGGGCGCCTCGAACCAGCAGCTCCTGGCGCTGGCGCAGGTACTCCAGCTCCGCCAGCCCGGCCAGCGTGGCCTCCTGCCGCTCCCGAGTGCGCTGCCTCTCTGTGTCCGCCTCGCCTTTCTCCCGCCAGCGCCCCTCAGGCTCCAGCGCGCGCGGCTCGCCCCGGGCCGGCGCCTGCGGCTCCAGCTCCCTCGCCGTCCCGGCCGCACTCGGCTTCATGGCCCCGACCCTCGCAGCGAGCCCCCGTCACCGCAGCCCGGCCGCCCGGGCGGAGGAGCGGGCGCTAAGGCTGCGGCCGAGGGCTCATGCCGCCCTGGGACGGGGCACGGAGACGGGGCGACAGCCAGAAGCGCTCGGGACCCGCTTGCGGCCGCGGGCTGCAGCCGTCCGGGCCCGGGCGGCGCCGTCCGCTGTCGCCGCGCGTCCCTCGCCGCGGCCCCGCAGCTGATAACGCCCTGCCCGGCGCTACGTCACGCGCGGCGGCCCGGCAAACCCCCGCCTGGCGCCCGCCTCCCCGCGCCGGCCCCTCGGCTCCGAGGCCCGCTCCCCCAGGCTTCCCCCTCTTCTGTCAGGGGCGCCGCTGGCGCTCGGCGCCGGCCTCCTCCTCCCTCGGCCCTCCCCGCTCCTCCCTGTCTCCTCCCCCGCTCTTCCCGCGGGCCTCCTCGCCCCCTTTTCGGGTTTACTGCACCCAATTTTTGCCTCGTTCCTTATTGGCTCTTTTTTTGCCTCGCACAAAGCGAGGGGCGAGCGCCTCGAGTCCCAGCATCCTGTTACAGTCGGCCTCGCAGGCAGGGTCGCGAGGGGACGCAGCAGTTGGGCTCCCCCGAGAACTTTCTGAAACTCGACCGAGTTGCTGCACACAATCTTAACCCTTTCCCCCCACATCCACTGTTCGCATCCACTCACACCGATTTCGGTTTCTTTCACCTTGCCGAGCAAGGTACTGAGAGTGGATTCAGAGACCATTTCTGTGGGTTCGGTTTCCTGGACTCCGCTTTGTGAAGGCAAGCAATACCAAAGCACAGTGCAATGTTGTTCTAAAACTGTGTGACTCTTAGTTTTGTGGCTATTGTTTTTATTTTATTTTATTTTATTTTATTTTATTTTATTTTATTTTATTTTATTTTTACGGAAGGCATATAAAATTAGGCAGGAGGATGTTGCTGTAAACCAAGTGGTTGCATCAATTATTTTACAAGCCTGGGGTTTAATGCTGGCACGCACACCTGTGCGCTTGGGTTTTTGTTTGAGTTTTTTATTGTTGTTATTTGCTATCTTGGGCAAACGCAAGAGCTCTGACTCTGAAACTAGACTGTCTGAATGTGAATCCTGTTCCAGCCTTGATTAGTTGTGCAAACAAGTTACTTCATTTCCCTATGCTTCTCTTTCCTCAACAGTAAAATGGAGCTACTGGCTGACTATGCCAATTAGAAGAATTACAGTAATATACGGTATATAATATGGCGGGGCGAGGGTGTGTGTTTACAACATGGCAGGCACATAGATGGTCAGGAGTACAGGAGTTGTGGCTTTTTGTTTTTTTCCAGAGGGACCTATAAACTTTCCCCCAAAGTAGCATTTGTGGAATGGTCACCTCTGCTTGGCACACTGGTCGCAGGGACTTTGGGTGGAAAAGAGGTTTGGAAGCACCACTATTGGTTTGTCTATGGAAAAGCACCGTATCTATTTTAGAAATCAATACATCAAACAGCCTCAGATGTTAAATCCAAGAAGTCACAATCTACTGAAGTTCAGGCAAAGTGTTGTGTGAAGGAACGCATCCTGTATCATTATTTCAGACTCTTACACCTTAGCCGGGCTCCCCTTTCTCTGCTGTGTGGTCTAGGCTTCCCTCCAAGATCAGTTCACTTCCCTCCTCTGAACTCCAGATAACTGTATGAATATCTGATTTTTCCCAAATGCTGTTCATTTGGTTATTTGTCTGTATGTGAACACACATATCTATGCACGTAGGGGTTTATATGCATTTCTTCTCTCCAATTACATTATAAAATTTCCCTGAAGGCAGAGGTTGGTTTAATACCCTCTTAGTATTACTGCACTCAAAACTGGCTTGCAAGCATTCAACTGATGATCTCTAGAGACTCGAGAAAACGGAGGTTGGTTGTAAATTGTTTTTACATTAACATACTTTCTGGGGCGCCATGGTGGCTCAGTGGGTTAAAGCCTCTGCCTTCGGCTCAGAACATGATCTCAGGGTCCTGGGATTGAGCCCCACATGGGGTTCTCTGCTCAGCAGGGAGCCTGCTTCCTCCTCTCTCTGCCTGCCTCTCTGCCTACCTGTGATCTCTATCTGTCAAATAAATAATAAAATAAAATCTTAAAAAAAATACTTTCTAACTAAATTAATAGTACCCATTTAATCTCTGCAACGAGTAGAATCAACACAGCCCTTACTAAAATAAAAACAAAAAACAACAATAACAAAAAACAAAGTTCCCTTGCCATACTCCATGGACTTCCCCATTGCTGTCCCTCACAGACATAAAAGAAACTCTAACTACAATCAGGATTCATGACCAATAAGATTGTATACTGGATCTAAAAACAGAATTATGTTCAAGTGTTCATCAGTATACAAAATCAATTCTATTCGGGTCACCTCTTCTTTTTTTTTTCTTTTTATAAAGACACGTGTTACTTTTTTTATATATATATTTTATTTATTTATTTGACAGAGATCACAAGTAGGCAGAGAGGCAGAGAGAGGAGGAAGCAGGCTCCCCGCTGAGCAGAGAGCCTGATGTGGGGCTCGATTCCAGGACCCTGGGATCATGACCCGAGCCGAAGGCAGAGGCTTTAACCCACTGAGCCACCCAGGCGCCCCTTCTTTATGCCTACCCTGTGCCAAACAATTCGCTTCGTAACACAGGAACTAATTTTTCCCCATAACTTCAGTAAAGCTCTGAAGACACTGAAGAATAATGACAGATCCTGCATACTAAAGGCCACTCACCCATGTCCTCTATCATTGTCTCATTCTATTAATTTCTAAGCAAGCTTCTTGCTTTCTAGCTCCAAATTAGATTCCTTCTGGCTGGGTGGAGCCTATTATTGTGGCCTGGATTATGTCACACATCGACAACTATATTTACAGAGTTGAGAGGGGGAGAAAAGCTGAAACATGTTTTACACACTACTAATAAATCTTGTTAAAGTGGACAGACAAATCACTATGTCTCCAAGTACCCCCCCCCCAACACTCCCCGCCCCATCCCACTCTCCTCCCCACCAAATGCCACTTGGAGCTGGCTCATTAGTCCAAAGCAAACCATTTGCCATAACAGCTTGTACATCTCCATGAGAAAGTGTTCCCAGCAAGTTTAAATATTAAAATTAATGTATTCAAATGGTTCCACCCGTAAAACGGTCACAAATAGGAAAAAAAGGTTATGCTTTCCAAAGTATCCATTACACATTAATAAATAATGCTGTTCATTCACACGCCAATTAAAACAAACTCGGCTGTCAAGCGAAATTAGAAGCAAGGAGCTCAATGCTGTAATTGTGGGGTTTTTGTTTGTTTGTTTTTTTCAGGAAAACTCCCAATGTCGTCAGATTAAGTGTAACTAGTTGGGATGTCCCTAGTCTCTTCTTAACTCAACAGATTTTCTCCTCTCCAGTCTAGTCCTGGCTTTCCTTTCCCCTTTGATTCTTTGTTTGGTAGCAGGTATCCGGAGGTAGTTGGAGGTAATCACCCCCTGCTCTCTGCTCCCTTCTGTTGCCAACAGGATCTCACTTCCCCCTACTGTTTTGATTTTTCTTTCTCTACTTTTTAAAGCAGGTGCTGGTGTTTCTTCCTCCACCAATGCTACTTTGTTATCTCCTTTCCAGTATTGTTCAGCCCTTATGTTAATTCTGCTTCCATCTCTCCCTGAAGCCTCTGTTTCGAAGAAAAGCTGTTAATCCACACTCGGAAAGAGTGGCACTAAATATGGAGGGGATATGCTCCCTGGAGGATCTGGAGAGTAAGATAAAGTTGCTAACTGAAAAAAAGTGTTGACTGAGTATATCGTGGTTGGGTAGTTTATGCTCCAGGGCATTTCCTGGGCAGAGCCAGGAAGGGTCCCTCAGATCACACAGTCTGACCCCTTTGCCCTGGAGCAGAACAGCTCCCGCCAGCACCCCTGCTAAGGTCTGAGTAGCATTCTACAAATGGCCTCATCCAGCAGTGAACATTCTACTGCAACCAGGCAAAGCAAGGAGCGTCCGTTGAGACTTTTGCTATAGAGAAAAGCAACAAAATAATGCCTTGCAGCTTTTATGGCCAAACACACACAAATGATGTAATTGGGGAAAAGCTGTCTCCACATAGGAGGGAAAAAAATAAAGGGCAATCCTTTGAGTTGGGGTGATGACCACCATTCGAGGGTCTGGGATCAAAGCTCCAGCCAGACATCAAAGCCCATTTGAGTCTAATGCCAAAAGAGCCACAGTGAATTAAACTTCATATATAAACTAATTATAACTTGACCCCACAATCAGGCTTCAGTGAGCACATGGGAGAAAGAAAGCAGACATTGAAACAAAAGATCAAGAAAAAAGGAAAGTTGGTAGCAAAACTGGCCAACATCATGGCCCTGACCACTTTAAAAATCTTTTGAGGGCAGAGGGGAATAAGGGAATGGTGGTGGAAACAACAAGCTTTTGACAATGCTGGTCTTGTTTGCAAGGCTTTGAAATAGCTCTTTCCACCCTCACGGACTCGTGCAAAACCACGTACTTCCTTATTCCTGGAAGAAAAGGTTATCTGTTAACTATTTTCATCATTGTTAAGGTCTCCAGTCACCAGGTTTCTGTTTGAAAGAAGCCTTAGATAATTCCATGAAGTTTGGGGGTGAGTTCTGTAGGGAGCTCAGCTTCCTTATACAGTGCACCCTGAGTTCCAAACACTCACGCTGGGAGTGACTTGCATTCCTGTGGCCTTCATCGCTGATGTCTTCACCAACTTCAGACTTCAGTCCTTTAGCTCTGCCATTCACAGATGGAAGGCACCTCATGCCAGGTGTGCAAATACCCTGGAACACGCTCTGGTACTAATACCATAAAACTACGTCATTCTCAGGCAAAATTTAAAACTCTTACAGAGACAAGTGGTCACTTTAAACAATTGTATTTGGTAGATTTTGGCCTTACTCTGCTTGGTTGGGACTGGTCCCTAAATATTTGAAATTCTCCATCTCATGAACTAGCAAAGTATTACACATCTAATTTGATAATCCACAGAACATTTTCAATCATATTTATTTGTAGATAAGCATTAGTGGTTTCTTAAAATTACAATCTAATTATAACCTGAGTCCCTTGCATGGGAGAAAAATACTTTTTAGGGGCACCTGGGTGGCTCTGTGGGTTAAAGCCTCTGCCTTCGGCTTAGGTCATGATCCCAGGGTTCT